ATATATATATATATATATATATATATAAAGAAATACGACACTGTTATATCAGTTTTGGTCAAATCAAAAAAATATACTGTTACTTTGAAATATGTGTTAGTGATTGGAGTATGACAATAAAAAAGCTCCTTCTGACCTGATGAGGTGTTCGAACGCCTTCTTTTCCTTCGACAGCGTCGTCAGATACTTCTGTTCTTCTGTCGAGCCTCCATAAATAAGGAAGTACACTCGAAGTGGCTTCCCAGGCCGATTGGCTTTGTAGATCTCCAGCTGGCGAACGAAGCTCAGTTCTGCGTCGTACAGCACCACGAAGCTTGGCTCCACCTCGTGCAGCACCCGGGTCAAGCTGTGGGGGTCGGTGCAGCCTTGCAGGGGGTGAATGACAGTGAGTGGCTCCTTCAGGATGCCATAATAAGCGTCTGACGACAGATCCAACTTTAGCTGTTCTTCCTCGCCTTCATCCTGCTCCATCCGATCGTCCTCGTCTCCACTGCTGCCCCTCACCTCAGCTGACTCCGCCTTCCCCATCATCTGGGTCAGGGTCAGAGAGGGTCTGCTTTTATGTTTTGTGGTCTTTGAGGGGGTTTTCTTTGCAGGCTCTTTTCCTTTGCTTGATTTTTTCACCCGGCTTTTAGCTTTTTTGTGTGAGTCCAGCTCAAAGGCAGCAGCTGCAGAAGAGTCACGTTTACCGATGGTGCGGGCATACAGTCGATGTAGCAGCCAGTCAGAGCCGTGCCTGATGTACTGCTGCAGCTGGGCACAAGTCCGGTCATCACTTGCACAAATCAGCACACGACCTGTGGTCAGTAAGTTACAGGGTTAGACACACACCTGGTTGTACACAGTAAATATACATCACATTCAGAATGTGACAGTATTACTAACTTGTGAGCCTGTCATACAGAGGAATACAATGGGTTCAACTACTTTAAAAACAAACCAGTTCACTGGTAATATTTCTTCATGGTGACCTCTTCTGTTCAAGAAGAGAACGACTAATGTTCATTTGAAGCAAGTTTGTTAAGACACAGTGCAGGAGTTCAACCAACAACTTTAACTAGAGGAATTGCATTTCCTGTGAAAATGCAGTGTGAATGCTTATTGCTGAAAAACAGCTGAAATTAGCTAAAATCATGCTGAAATGTAGTTGAAATGGAAGAACAAGCCCAAGTTAGCAGAAAGAACACATACTTGCTGAATTAGGCTTAAAGAAGCAGACATTAGCACAAAAATTAAGAAATTAGCTAAAAAATCCTGAATATTAAAATTTTTTTTTAAATGTAGCTAAAAAGGCAGAAAGAAGCTTAAACTACCAGAAGGAAGTGGAAAGAGCTGAAATGAGCTTAAAAAAGGAATTAACTGACAAAGCTACAAGTAGCATCAAAAGAGCTAAATAGTAGATGAAAGAGCAGAAAAAGCTGAACTAGCAGAAAAAAGCTGAAAGGAGCATAAAGAAGTTAATTAGGCAAAAAGTAGCCGAAATGACCATGAAAAACTTGAATTTATATGAATACAGCTGAAATTAGCTAAAATGCTTGAAAGCTAGCTGAAAAGGTAGAGCAAGCTTAAATCAGCAGAAGCAGAAAGAACACATATTTGCTGAATTAGGCTTAAAGAAGCAGAAATGAACACAAAAAGGTGGAACTTTTCTGAAAAATCTGACATGAGCAAAAAAGAATAAAATAAAAAAAACTGCAGAAAAGTAGCTAAAAAAGCAGAAAGAAGCTTAAATTACCAGAAGGAAGTGGAGCGAGCTAATTTTTGCTGAATTAGGCTGAAAAAAGTTGAAATTGGTGAAAAAAAAGTGGCATTAGCTGAAAAAGCTAAAATTAACATAACAGCTAAATAGTAGCTGAAATAGCAGAAACTTGCATAAATAAACTGAAATTAGTAGAAAGAAATTACAAGAAGCACAAAAATGTTGTAGTTAGCAGAACGAATCTAAAAGGAGCACAAAACAGCTGAAAAAACAGCTAAAAGAAGCTGAAATTTTTTTAAAATTTGCACAAGGAAGCCGAAAGAAGCTGAAGCAGAACAAAATGTGAAAGGAGCAGTAAAAGGTTGTAAACACATCTAAAGATCTGAAGGATGTAAAATGAACTCAGTTAATTTTCTATGAGGAAAAAATGTATTCAACCTATATTTAAACAGGTTAGTCCCACTGAGCCACGAGGACTCATTTACAAGAGACACCTGGACTTTAACAAAGAGTGATGATGACAACAGTGGAGAATAACGACAACAATAGACAAATGATTCATACCAATTTTAGTTTTTTTTTTATTAATTAATTTTTTTAACGGCTAAATATTTCAAAAAGCTACAGTTGCACCAATACCAAAAGTCACAGCACCCTTCTCCTGAAAGAGCTGAACGTTTTGATTTATGATTTGTTGAAACAGCACAAAAATTGTGGAACGAGAAAGATGCAGAAAAATGTACCGGGAAAAAAAAAAGGATCAGTGTGAATGCTTCGTAAATATTCACACTGTTGTGATTTGAATCCATTTGTGTGACTTGGACGGCAGCATTGACAGCCACGAGGCTTTGGTTCATAAAGGTCCAGAGCATCTAAATGAAGTGCTCCTAAAAACAAATTTTTTAAAGAACACTACGGTTATTTTTAGTAACAACAAACCAAAGTGTCCACCGCAAAGACCTGCCTTGGCTTCAGTATCTGATCCAAGTTCAGCTGGATGTGTTTAGTTTAATGTGGACAGAAGAACTGACAAGTACTGTACGTGTTCAGAGCTGATAAAAACAACCTGTCCCGAGAACAACTTTATTACAACAAACTGATATTTATTCTAACAACATAATAAATGTAGCACTGATTTTTATCATTTTGTGCTGTTGTTACGCTGTAAGGAGCTAAATTCAAATGTTAAAAGTTGAATCTAATTAGTAAAATAACACTTCTGTAATCTGAAAAATCTACATCCCATTTTGTTCATACAGCAGGTGTGTATGTAGAGGTTGTACGATGGACTTATGTGGGAGTTCAACAGCACCTGGTTGTGAGTTCTTGTTCTCCTTCTCAATCTCCTCCAGCACCTCTCTCAAAGCCTCCCACTTTGGGTTCTTCTCCAGCACCAGCTCCCGCTTCACCTCTAGAATCCAAAAAGCAGGTTCCCTTTAAGACGAAGGCTCCCAGAGAGGCCACACTTCAGATATGTAGTCGAAATACTGAGCAAGATCTGGGACGTCCTCTTGTTACCTGAAGCCGTGGAAGACTTCTGTTTCTCTGCATCTCCTCCTACTTTAAGTTTCTTGTTGCTCTCAGGAATGCGGTACACTCTGCTCCGAGCGTTCACAAACATGGAGGTACTCGAGTCCAGAAACAGCCAACCTAATAGATGAAATCAAAAGTAAACAAACATCCATTTAATTGTTTACTTGGAGTGATTCTAGTCAGGCACTGGACAGATTTACCTGAATTTGAGCCAAAATTCTTTTGGCTGGATAGCAGAGACTCGAGAAGGTTGAGAAAGGTCACACAGTCGTACTGGGTGAGGTAGAGTAGAAGAACCCGGAGCACCTTGAGATCCTGAACCAGGGCTTTAGTCTTTGCTCCCAGCTGATGCCACAGGGGGTTCAGGTAGTGACGAATAGTCTGGATGGAAGTACAAAGATATAGATTAGTGTTTCCACAACCATTATCCAAGGAGTGCGCCCCGCCCTGTTAACAGAATCGAGCGTCCTAAACCTACCAAACCCCCCACAACTTTGGGACAGGGAGTGGAGATTAGTAGCTCTTGTGAAACTCCAAACCACATGCAGTACAAACGTAGCGCTCCACTATACACTCTGCACAGCTTCTCTTCTGCCCCCAACGACAACTGCTGGCACCATCGTAGCGCTAAGCTAGCGTGCAATACAGACGTAGCCCTCCGTTTCTCCACCCCCGTCAACAATTGCCGCCACTACCATACGCTATGGTAGTGCCTCTTCCCCCTCTCGAAGAGACGAGCGCCCTCTTAAGGCTAGTGACCTACGGGAAACAATGTATATAATTCAAATAACACGTCATTGTCACGGGTTCTTTTCCACGCAAACATTTTCTTGAATCTGAATGAAAGTTCTCCAAAGAACTCCAGTGAACAGTCAAGTCTTCAGATCATCCCAGTATTTTTCTCCTCCAAAAAAGGTACAAACTCGCTTCGTTGCAATCTTGATACAGTAATACCAACACCTTGTTGCCTTCTTTGTAACCACCATATTCTCTCTGTGCCTCCTCAGTGTCGGGCAGCAACTCTTAATCTACAGCTCCTCCCATTGATCATAACATTTCTTTCACGTATACTTGGTTTAACCACAATTTAAACAAATACTATTTTCACAGTTCAGCCTCACTCACAAATCCTAATTAATGCAACAATAGTAATGCACAAAAATCATTTAAAGTCACATGACCAAAGAAAAACATCCTTTTAGTTTTTGCCAAGCAATGAAGGAAGCAGCCATCCTACCACCTACTTCAATAGCAACAAGTACAAATATTTTCTGGCCTATAAGTCGCACCCTTTTGCATAATTTGCGTACCCTGCGACTTATACGCCAAAGCGACTTATTTATGGATTATTTTCCCCATATTTATAAAACCAACTTTTGGCTGAGATATGACCTTTTTCATTAATTCTGACATTGAAAATATTGAACACTACCATTTTCAGCCGCTAGATGACGCTAGAGTAATTTGGCATGCCGTTATGTCATGTAATACGTAAAAGTGGCTATTAATGACACAATCAGCTTGCCACAGTCTGCCACCTTTGGACAGCTCTGGGATCATGCCTGGAGCAACCGTCAAGTCAGCTTCATTTGGCTGCGCCGCCCCAGCAAAACGCAGCTAATTTGACCACTGAAGTGCGTTTATTAAGTAAAAATTCAACTGAGACACACCTTTACTATAATGTAGAGCAAACAAACAATTGTTTTAGGTGCTTATCTTGTTAAAATTCAAAAAAATGTGCAGCGTTTCTCCTTCCCGATTTCCTCCCTCTGCACGCTCCCGGAGCACCGAGGCAGCAAATACTTTTGAAATGCAGCTGATTTTACCATTACAGTGCATTTATTAAGGAAAAGTTAGACTCAGACACACCTTTACTATAATTTTGAGCAAACAAATAATTGTTTTTAAGTGTTAATCTTGTTAAATTCTTGTTAAAGTCCTCCCGTGCACACTCCCGCGGCCACCATTTTTTCTGGGTTGTCAGCGGTGACACGTAACAAACGCAACTTATTTATGGATTTTTCCAAATTATTAGACATTTTTGGACAGGTGGAACTTATTCTCCATTGCAACTTATAAAAGTCGGAAAATACGGTAATGCTTTCAGACATAATGAATTTTGACAAGATATAAACTAACGAAGGAGAGAGAGGATTGCAGTGTAACGTGGCTCAGTGTGCATGCGGAGGAGCGACAGGGATGCTTCATCACGATCATATTTTTGATACGTTAGGGTGGCAGCTACATTTTTCACCTTTTCAAATCCATTTCCCAGTGTGTTCTCCAGAGACAGGTCCTCGGCCTCGAGAGTGGAGTTGTATCGCTTCAGTTCCTTCAGACAGGCGCTCATCAGGTCCAGAATGGAGCTCTGGATTGCCCTCATGGCTGGTGTTAATGACACATGCAGTTCTACCACTTCTGGCTTGTGTTTTTCCAGGGTTGTGTTCACCGATGCTTGGAACCTGTTCACCAAAAAGCATAAAAACAGAACGCTAAAAGTAAAGATTTAAAAAAACGATTTTGCTCAGTTATGCTTTTATCGTACCTGGGCCACAAGTAGAGCTTCTTGACAAAAAGGTTCCTCATGACACGTTCAACCTGGCAGAAGCCGGAGGAGAAGGCTGTGGCCTTATCAGTGAAGGCCTTAATGAAACCAGTTTTATTTTTCTGTCTGAACAGACGAAGGATGAAAGCCTCCTGGCACGACTCAATGATTTTATGAGCTCGATACACCAGGATACCTGAGGGGAAAGAACCACAGAGATGGAGTTAGTGTCTACAGCAGAGGAGAAAAAGGAAAATCCATCAATACGTCAAAGTAAAAGGTTAAACAAGTTTTTATGATGTATTTCGTGGAGTTTGTTTTTGGTGCATTAACCTCTGGAATGAACCTCAACTGTCTATAAATGTCCTCATGTGACTGATTCATTCAGCCTTTATTTATACAAGTTAGTCCCATTGAGTCGTGAGGACTCATTTACGATACCTGTAAATAATTGATCAAATGGGTCACATCATTATATTAAAACAAGCATGTCAGTAACTTCCAAAGAACAAGAGGAAAAAAAGGCTGGTTCAACTTTGGATTGTGAGTTTGACTTTACTTGAACTGTGCATCATTGCATCACACACAGATGTGCATGTTTAAACAGAAATCCAGCTGTGTTGTTTGTTAGGTATGATTTATGGAGGTGGTGCAGCGGTACTCTGATTCCTTTTGTTTCTTTTGTACCACCTTTACAACTCAGTCCAGCAACAGGTATTTGAAACGCGAGCAAGTCCAAGCAATTTTCAAAAGGTGACGGTTAATGAAAAACAAAATAAAACGGTAAAACTCGGTCAGAAAACGGTGTTTCTTCCAGCATTTCTGACTTCTCAACAAGCTTATGCACATACCAACAACAAAAAAACACTATCTGAGAAAATTAGTGTGCAGGAAGCCCCAAAATACCAGAATGTGCATTAGAAAGTCACATTTCTATATTCTATGCTTTTAACATGTTTGTAAATTTAAATGAAACAATAATTTTTATATTATATTTTCTCCTTTCAAATATGCTAATACCAGTAAATTAGCCACTAATTGGCTCTTACAGGTGGTATCTCACTGGGTTGCAAATGTTGGAGACTCACAATTTCAAAGAAACCGATGAATGTTTCCGGGTGTTTTTGACCAAGTAACCAGTGAGACATGAGTCACATTTTGTGTGGTCAGTGTTTTAAAATGTTGCCTGTTTTACATGTACGACTTGCAAACTGAATTCTGGGCTGTGTACATGGTTTTGTTGCTTACCTCTGCCCACACCATGCTCGTGTTTTATACCCACCTTGGCAGCTACCTTCATGCTTAGGATTTCATCTTAATGGGATTAATGGGAGTACACTTTGGAAAGAAATAATACATATTTGGTATTAGCCTCCCTGGTAAGATCTATTCAGGGGTACTGGAGAAGTGAGTCCAATTGTTGGTTGAACTTCAGATCCAGGAGGAACAATGTGAGTTTCGTCCTGGCCGTGGAACACTGGATCACCCATTTACCCTCACTAGGGACCTGGAGGGAGTCTGTCCACCCAGTCTACATGTATTTTGTGGACTTGGAGAAAGTCGTCAACCGTGTTCCTTGGAGTACAGTGCTCCATGAGTATGGGATTGGAGGTCCGTTATTGCGGGCTGTTCGGGCTCTATACAAGCAGTGCAAGAGATTGGTTCGCATTGCTGGTATTAAGTCGGACCCCTTCAGGGTGGGTGTTGGACTCCGCCAAGGATGCCCGTTGTCACCGATTCTGTTCATAACTTTTATGGACAGAATTTCTCGGTGCAGCCAGGGGGTGGAGAGAGACATCTCTGCTCTTCGCAGATGATGTGGTCCTGTTGGCGTCATCGTGCCGTGATCTTCAGCTCTCACTGGAGCGGTTCGCAGCCGAGTGTGAAGCAGCTGGGATGAGAATCAGCACCTCCAAATCTGAGAACATGGTCCTCAACCGGAAAAGGGTGGACTGCTCTCTTCAGGTCGAGGTTCTGCCTCAAGTGGAGGAGTTCAAGTATCTCAGGGTTTTGTTCACGAGTGAGGGAAGAATGGAGCGCGAGATTGAAAGACAGATTGGTGCAGCGTCTGCAGTACTGCGAACTCTGTGCCGGTCCGTTGTGGTGAAGAGGGAGCTGAGCTGTAAGGCAAAGCTCTGTTTACCGGTCGGTCTACGTTCCTACCTGCACCTATGGTCATGAGTTTTGGGTAGTGACAGAAAGAAGGAGATCGTGGATACAGGTTGTTGCAATGAGTTTCCTCTGCAGGGTAGCTGGACTCTCCCTTAGAAATAGGGTGAGAAGTTCAGTTATCCAGGAGAGACTTGGGAGTAGAACCGCTGCTCCTCAACAATGAAAGGAGCCAGTTGAGGTGGTTGAGTCATTTCATAAGGATGCCCCCTGGGCGCCTCCCTAGGGAGGTGCTTCAGGCATGTCAGACTAGAAGGAGACGCGAGGAAGACCCAGGACACGCTGGAGACTAGTGTCTCTCAGTTGGCCTGGGAACACCTTGGAGTTCTCCCAGAAGAGCTGGAAGAAGTGGCTGTGGAAAGAGATGTCTGGACCTCCCTGCTCAAGCTGCCGCCCACACGACCTGACTTCAGAACAAGCGGAAGATGATGGAAGGATGGAACTGGTAACTCACATGGATACAGTACTCAGTGGTATAAGCTGCAAGTACTTATTGCAAAGTAATTCAGCGTACTAGCATGCAGTACAGCAGCATTCACCAGTGTCTGACCTGAGATCAGATGAGCAGGGATGCGGTCAGTGAGGAAGTCCACCACCAGGATTCTGCTGGTGACAAACAGAACCCCTCCCTCGGTGTAAACACGGTACCGTTCAGCACTCTGAACGTCACTGGTCACTGTCCTGGGCAGGTGGCTGACACCTTCGACCCTCAGCTGCTCTGTGAAATACTCCTGAGAAGAAAACAAACCAGCAGTTTTTCTAATTGTTGATCAACAATGACACACAACCCGCCACCCTGCATGCATCACAGTAAATAACTTCAGCCCTTTGCTGGTGTCCACGTGTCCCAACTATGGACACGGTGCACGGACAGTGTTTGGTCCTGACCTGTTCTGCTGTGGATGTGTTGAGCAGAAGGACGAGGCTGTCCTTCTCAGAGTAAACCCGCATGAACTGCAGCAGGATGCGGTCTATCCCCAAACCCTCGGCCACCACCAGCAGACCGTCACAGCCGAAGAGACTCAGAAACATCTCGGTCTCAAACTCCAGAAGCTGCCCCGCCATCATGGAAAAATAAAAACTCCTCTAAAGATGCTACAGTCACTAAACTGTCTCTCATTCCCACTGCGTGGGGCGGCTACAAGTGCGAGTAGTCGCTGAAAACCAGAGGAAAAGAACCGGCCCGTCTGTGTTTTGAGAGCTTTCTTACTTCCGGTGACGATTTCGACCGGAGAGAAAGTGGAGGGTCCAGCGAGGAGCGCCACCGTGTGGTAGGGAGCAACACTGCACCAGTAATACACTTACATACTGTACAAACATATGTAAACAATACATATATAAATATAAATAATAATAAAAACACACACAGACATATATATATGAAAATATACAAATGAATATATATTTTCATATACATATATATATATATATATACTGTATATATACTGCAACGCTCTCACCACATATTTATTTTTTGCTGTCTTCTGGAGGCAAAAGGTTGCCAGTGTTTTTGCCTGTTTGTGCATTCACTTAACTTTTGTGTTAGCAAAATATCTCACGAATCACCGGATGGATTTTGAAAACGAATAACTTGGTTAATTTGACACATATTGAGCTTGAATCCGGTAGTTCAAAGTCATACGCAACTTTTACGTAAAGTGTCAGCTGATGGACATATGTTGCTAAAATATTTCCATTAAATGTGGAGTCAACTCAGTCTGTCTGTTAGTAAAATATCTCATGAACCCCTACAAAAATTTTAATAAAACTTAAATATAGCAGGCATCTACAACAGATTATCCTTTGGTGTAAAGTCGGCTCAAAATGGCTGCTACAGCTAACTGACTTTTGGAAACAGAAAAAAATGCTTTCACGTAGCAAATTAAAAAAATATAATTCACTGCTGACATCATGCCTGTTTGTATGTTTGCAAAATACCTTATGAACCAATGGACACATTTCAGTGAAAGTTTTCGTAATAGACATTGAGCCAAAATGTCCTGTGGTTGTAGCTGAGTCATTTAAAACACAAACCAACACATCTCACAGGATCTCTGATAGTATTTGACTAAAACAGCGATAACTCCATGCCTTCTGACCTTAGTCTGAAACTTTTGCATTCCATTATGCATTCCTTCAAAGAATACTAGGTCTTTATTTTATTCTGGACTTTGGGAGTGGAGGTATTAAAGGTGGATGAGTTTAAGTACGCCGGCTCATCCAAATCATCCAAAGCAACAGGCAGCAAAAAGCAGAGCGAACAGGCAGGATGGAGTGGATAGAGATGAGCGTCAGGGATGATTTGTGATTTAAGGAAAGGTGCAGCAGTAAAGGAGAAGGTTTACAAGACAGCGGTAAAAACTGATAAGATAAAAACAAGATGATTAATAAAAACAAATATTCTATTCTATATATTCTATATATGGAGTTGATTCACTTCTCTTCTGTCCACTTCTATTTTCTTCAGACCGGATTAAAATTCAATTCAATTCATTCACAAATGCTTTATTAATCCCAAAGGGAAATTAATTGTTGTTGTAGCTCATCTTGGTTTCATTAGAGTTGTTATAGACGCTGTTGGCTTTGGGCAGGAAGGATCTCTTGTAGCAGTCTGTCCCACAGCGGATCCGAAGAAACTGGCTGCAAATGCCGATCCGTCCACCCAGACCCAGCAGACCTCTCGTTCTTCTTGGGCAGCAGGACTGCCTGAATGCCAAGGAGAACTCCTCCCCGAGCGATGGCCATTCCTCACAGCAGTCTGCCGAGCCCCTCATCGCCACAGACTTAACTGCAGGTGCCGGGGGACGATCTCGGTCCTCTTGCTGTCACGAGCCACATTTCCCGCCAGCTCCAAGATCTTGGCGGTCAGGCACTCGAGCACCACCTCCAGGTAGACGGTAATGCATCCACGGCACCTCCTTTTCAACTCACTTGGGATTTGGGGCTGTAGTTGAGGTATTATTTGAGCTTTTGAGATTTTAATTAAAATTAACATGGTTAATTTTAACATAAAATGGTAAATGGACTGTACTTGTATATCACTTTTCTATCTTATCAAGACACTCAAAGCACTTCACAACACAATCTGTGCCTCATTTACCCATTCATACAGCACGCTACTAGATCTCTGCAGAGACTAATCAGTGCTTTATCAAATTCATACATCGATGGGACACACATCGGAGGCAATGAGGGGTTTAGTGTCTTACCCAGGGACACTTCAGCATGTGACTGCTGGTGGAATCAAACCCCCAACTCTTGCACTGGAGGACGACTGCTCTAACTCAGCCACAGCCGCCCGGTAAAGACTGGGACAAATTAAGGGACAGTTTGGACAACATTTTTAAACCTTTTTTTTTTTTTTTTTAATTGTCCCAGCATCTGTCGTGTCAGAACGAGCCCTCTGATGACACATGCTCCATTTTAGGTGCCCTCATTTTTTTTTTATTAATGAACAGAAGGTGACCGAGTGCACCTCTGAAGAACACCTCTGTGATGAGGCAGCACATAAACATTGCCAGGTGATGCACGTTTAAAATTCAAGTCATGCACTTCCATCAACGAGCCTTTAGAGAGCAGTGGAGCACTTTGTTTCACAAACTGTGTCGGCCAAACACTCCATATCTGAGAAAATGCATGTTTGTCCTCCATCAGCTGCAGGATGCAGACAGAAAGCAGGCAGCTGCAATGAAGGGCTGACATTAAACCAGTATATGAAGATAAACGCAACATACGGCTTTGTTCTTTTATTATTATTCATGAAACTGAATGCAAATGATCCACTGATGTGTCTGTTGGAGCATCCTTGTTCCCACAAACGCAGCCGTTGTTCAGGCTGGCAGATGTGAAGGATTGTGGTGGAAACCGTGCATCTGCTTCTCTTCGCAGCGAGCGAGACGAGAGGAAAACTGCTCGTTGGCAGCTGATGTGCATCCTGATCTGTCGGCCGGTGTGGCAGCGCTGTAAATGAGAGGAGAACAGCTTGAAATCGATGGCAGCCGGGAGGATAAAATAGGATGAGATATTTAACACTGCCTGCCTGACTGCAGTGTAGGAGGGAAAAGAGCGACACAAAGAGAGTCGGAAACAGTCGAAGGCGCACACATCCTTCCAGCCCTTATTTGGAAAACGTGGGAAACAGTGAGGCTCTGTTGTGAATGGAAGTCTAGGAGCCCACTAAGGGCCAAATGCAAAGAATCAGGAGGTTAAAACGTACTTTCTTTGGTGAATAAACAAACATATGGGCCATAAATCAACTGTCAGTGTGTTGCAGGCTGTCAGGAGGCTGTCAGTCTGAGAAACAACCAAATGGATCGTTTGTGCAGGAGTTAATGTGTTTCAAGTGTGTTACCACAGGGGTGATAAAGGCAGTGTGGAATCCATCAGAGTGAAAGTGACGCTGTAGGAAAACAGTTTTTTAAGCCAGAAAGAAAGAAAAACAAATTAAACTTTAATCACGTTTTGTAATTTTCTTACCCCAAACATTTTGTTTTCTAATTCGCACCAAATTCATTCAACCTTTATTTATACAGGTTAACCCCATTGGGCCTCGGAGACTCATTTACAAGAGAGACCTGCTTTTAACAAAGAGTGATGACAACAATGGACAGCAAAGACAACAGTTAGACGATCATAAAGAATGCATATAAAGTGAGATTATTTTTAAGAAGTGAAAATAAAATGGTAATTAAAACAAAATGTAACAAAATAAAACAGCTAGGTTGTAAGGCAATGTAGAAAACTAAAAACAGGAACATGTCGGCATTGGTTTTTGACAGGAACTTAACAGATGTTTGAAGCCACTTAGAGAGGTCAAGGTCGAGAGCTTCAGATCTTTTTGTAAGATATTCCAGGAAACAGGAGCAGAGTAGGAGAAGGCCCTTTCGCCTAGTTCAGTCCTCACTGAGGGAACACTGCAGGTAATAATGTCCTGAGAGCGCACGCTGTAGCTGCACTCACGCAGAGACATGTAGGAGGAGATGAATGAAGGCAACAGACCAAGAAGTGATTTAAAGATGAAAATGTACCAGTGGGAGAGTCTGCGTGAAGTTAATGATGTCCAGTTAACCAGTGAATACAGGGTGCAGTGGTGGTACGGTAGTTACAGCCAGTTATGAATCTTAGTGCACCATGATAGACAGCATCCAACATCTGCAGGGTTCTTGTAGGAGCGTTCATGTAAATAATGTCACCGTAATCAATGGAGGGTAGGAAAGTCACAGATACAAGACGTTTCGTAGCATTCAGAGTTAGACAGGATCTGTTTCTGAAAAAGAAACCCAGTTTAACTTTCAGTTTCTTTACTAGGTTTTCAACGTGGAGCTTAAAAGAGAGATGCAAGTCAACCAAGATACCCAAATATTTATAGGAATCAACAAAACACAATAGGGACACCATTCAAGAATAAAATCAAAGGAAGGACTGCTAGGACCAACTTCCTGTTTGAAAACCGCATCCCTTTGGTTTTGTTGGCGTTTTGGACAAGTTTGTGATGGAACAAATCTGACTGGATGATGTCAAAAGCAGACTGCAAAAGCTGGAAAGCCTTAGCAACCGTTTTAGCTCAACTTTGAACAACTGTCATCAGCATAGAAATTAAAGGATGCATCAGGGATGCTCTGACCTACATTACCTATTGTTAGTAGCTGTCAAAAATCCTGCTCAAGTGACTATTTTTACTATACAGATTGTAAAGAGGGTGGGTCTTAAGACTGAGCCTTGTGGTACACCATTGTTAACTGTTAAATAACTGGAGGAAATACCATTATGTTGAACACATTGCCTTCGATCTGAAGGATCTTAATATCTTAATAATCCCTACGATCAACTAGAATGTAAATAAAGTATTTAAATAATGCATCATTGTAAATAAAACAACACAGAGATATATACTGAATATAAAATATATATTGTGGTGCTTAGTTGAATGGGTAAATTGCAAATGATTTGGAGATAAAACACTTAAGAAAACAAAACAATAAAAATAAAAATAAAGTACATTTTAAAGGAGCCACTGCCTCAGATTCTAACATCCATCAATTTAAAAGCACATGAGGGGATTGAGA